ACGAGGACGACGGAGAAGACATGACTGAACTTCCCCCTAATCCAACTCCCCACGATCTACGAAGAATAATGGCAAAAGAAGTTATTAAACTTAAGGAAATGCCAGTTAAGGAATTTATCGAGGCAATGCCAGCGGCTGAAAAACTACACACTCAAATAAATTCATACGCTGAACAATTCATGGTGGAGATAATTAAACAAATACCTGATGTTATTCCTGTTTTAAAGAAGGTTGGGGAGTATGATCAAGTTGTATTTGACAAGCTCTTCGAGGCCAAAACGGCAGATTTCACCGCGGCAGGAAAAACTTCTGAAGGTAAGTGTTCCTGTGCCTAATCAGTATGTTCAAAGAATAGGACCAAAATTATGCGCGACAAAGTTTAAGAAATGTATCCGAAGATGGATACGTGTTATGAAGTTTTATTTTGAGAGTAGCGATGAAAATGCTGAAAAAGGGGCGTTATTTATTCGTAATTTCAGTTTAATGAATCCGATTGAGAAACGTATCCGACTAGGATGACTTGCTTGGACACGGGAATAAGAAATTTAAGGCTGGCCTCAATTTCTTTAGTTCAGACTTTCATGTGACCGAAAAGTCATTTAGAATGAGTGCGCAGTAAGAAGGTGGTCACTTCCCAACTGTATCCTCAGCTAAAGATAGGCTTAACCGTGCATGGTTTCTTTACGCAACTGGCAACAGCGCATTAGATCAGAAATATAACAGGGGTTTGTCTTGATTTAGATACGCACAGCACTGAGTCTAGAGCTGTTTGCCCAACAGTGACGATGTTAGCATTCTGAAGAGATGCGTGATCGCCACCCACCCCGTAGTTCACCTGGCACATTAAATGTCCTAACACAATGTCATCGTGCTTATTAAACTCTGATTGGCTATCATAACTGGCGCCCAAACGTCGGGTTAAATGCCTTTCTCTTTATTGAAAGAAAACCATAACTGGTGTGTTCAAATTAATTTTAAGTGCCCCGATGAGTAAAAGTATCCGGCAAAGATGATTTGTATGGCTATTCAAACAAGACATAGAACTAGCGAATCTGCCAACCCCCCCCCTAACAATTAAGTAGCTCTAATAGTCATTATGGTGGATTCTGGATGATTGCTTAGGAAATCCTGCCTGCACAGTCAGTTTTCTGTTCCCCAGTAGTGGATTCCATACGAGCAGTAAGTTGGACGGGCGAAATCGATCCAAGTGTGATTAAATTCATAGTTCATGGTGAGCCTTCTAACTCAATGGTAGAGCCTTGGCTGCGCAAAAGCCTTCCCTGTTGTGAGGGTTCGACTCCCAATGAGGCCGCCAATTTTTCACAATTTGGTCAGCTGAATTAAGCAAATCTGCCAAACGCCCCTAACAATTATGTGAGCCTAGTAGTCATTCTGGCGGATTCTGGATTGGGAAATCCTGCCTGCGCAGTCAGCTTGCTGCGAAAATGCTCATCAGAAAATTCAGAAGATTATTTTGGCGAGCGTATCGCAGGGGATTAAGTAAGTTAAACGCTAGCAACTGCGATCTTCAGACCATGGTTACTTAGTAGAGAAGAAGTCGGTGGGGGCCAGAAAAGAAGGAATAGTTTATTGTTTACACAGAGGAACAAAGAATAGTTGGAAGAAA